AAAAAAGTATGAAAAATAATTTTTTAAAAACTACTTTTAAAAAAACAAACATAACCTAAATATTTTTTTTTAACGAAAAAATATTTTTTATTGACTACATTTTTTAATAACAAATAAATACAAAAAAGTATGAAAAATAATTTTTTAAAAACTACTTTTAAAAAAACAAACATAACCTAAATATTTTTTTTTAACGAAAAAATATTTTTTATTGACTACATTTTTTAATAACAAATAAATAGAAAAAAGTATGAAAAATAATTTTTTAAAAACTATTTAAAAAAAAACAAATATAACCTAAATATCTCATGGAAAGCATTGAGCATCTTGTTTGTTAACTCTTTTTTTTTTTTTTAGGAAAATGCCCTCCAATGACGGGGAATTTGCTAAATTTTTTATTCCACTATGTATTTCAACTTTTTTTTTTTTTAATGGAGTATCTTGGTTCCTCATTATTTGCGATTAATCAATCAAGTCTTAATTGATGTTTGTTAAAGATAACATGGCACAAACTTTAACATGGAACTTCCAAAATCATGGCTAACGTAAGCGGTGATGAACTTATTAGAGTTGTGTATTACAAATTAAGAAAAAAAAAAAAAACTAAAAGATGTCTTTACTGTATATGTCGGAAGACACACATTCAAATTGCCACAATCATGTGAAAAGGTTTTTGTGTCCCTTCCATTATAGGACGACACAAGTACTAAACTTATCTCTAATTTGGTATTGATAATCTTTAAAAATCTTCTTTCTTTCTTTTCTTCTCAAATTAGGTGCTCGATTCTTCATAATTTTAAACCAGCCTCTTCAATTTATTTATTTTATAATTTGATTTCCGTTTTTTAAATATTATTTTTTATTTTAAATAATATATAAAATTACAAAAATACAATTCAAATTCAACTCCTTTTATTCTTTTAGATTTGATTATCATACTTTTTATTACTATTTATTTTATTTGATTTTTTTTAATTTTTTTTTTACAATTTCATCTACAATTTCATCTTTTTTTTAATTCTGTGTTCTTCCATCAAATTTAATTTTTAATTTTTTTATTAATATCTTTTTTACTTTAACAAGTTTTTAAAATTGATATTTTTTTCATAATTTCATATTTCAAAATTAAATTAATTGAAAATTAAATTTTTTAATTGAATTTAGATTAAAGATTTTATAGTTTGTGATTTTTAAAGATTAAACTAAGTTTAGTATATTCACTCATGCTTGCTTTTTTTTTAAAAATACTATTATTTTTTATTCTTTTTTAAAGTTTTGTTTTGTTATTTTTTTTATTGTTTTCCTTTGATGGGGCTAATCTTGGATTCATTAATAGAGTAATCAATTTCAAAGGTTAACATGATTAACTTTTTATTTTTCAAATTGATTTATTTTAATTTTATTATTTAACATTTAATATATTGAAAATTGTTCTTTGTTCTTTTTTTTATTGGCTATTTCAATTATGTACTCATGATTATAGGGTTAGCTTGATTTAATTTAGATTTTTTTTATTTCTCTCTTCGTTCTTTTTTTTTCTTATCCTTTTTTTTTATTGGCTATTTCAATTATGTAATCATGATTATAGGGTTAACTTGATTTAATTTAGATTTTTTTTATTTCTTTCCTTCAATAATGAGTTTTTCAATAATTGAATTTCATAATTTGGTTTAGTTTGCTTTCAATTATAGTTACCATAGTATAACAACTAGGTCTAAGATTTTACATCTTAGACTCAAATCAAGTTTTTTCAACTATATATTTTTTGAATTTTTATTTTTTAACATTTTATTTTATATAAATTGAGCTTGAGCTTCGATCAAGTTCTTTCAACTTTTTTTTAATTATATATATATTTTTAATTTTTATTCTTCAATATTTTATTTGAAATAAATTGAGCTTTGACTTATTTTTTCTTTTATTTTGCTTTCAATGGAGTTATTACTTGATTTATTTGGAACTGGTTTTCAAATTTTATTTCTTGTTTTTTCTATAAAATTATCTCAATTTTATATTTATGATCGTAAATTTTACGAGTTACCTTGGTTTAACTCATTTTTTTGTTGCTTTTTAATTATGTTTTTAAGTTTTTCCTTTTAATAATAGGTTGTTTAATAATCCAAAAGGGCTTAAGTCAGGTTCTTGTTATCTTTTTCTCATTAATTTTTTTTCCATATATTTATTGTTGTTTTTTTATATTATTTAAATTACTTTTTGAACCAATAACTCAAGTCTTAATTATTTTTTCTTAGCATTATTTTTTAAGTAAGAAAAAACTTGTGCACAGTAAATCATATAAGAAATTGAAATCTCCTTAGTTAAATTTTATTGAATGCAAACAAAGACAAGTTTTATACTTTTAGAGAAAATTACTAAAAACATCTTGCAATTTGAGCTTGAGCGGGCGAACGTTTTGCATATCAACTTTTTTAAAATTGCACTTGGTATCTTTACTCAACACTGCCATGTCAAAAAGTTAAAAACAACCTTGTATATTAATAAAAAAAAATTACTAAAAACATTATGTAGTTAAGCACATGAACACTTTACACACAAACGTTCAAAAATATCATTGTATATCAATAATCCACCATTATGCCATTGTAATTGCACATCTCTCTCTCTCTCTCTGCCCCTCTCCTGATCGCCATTTACCCTTGAACCCTAGCCATCGTTGTTCTCCTTCAACTCCGAGCCACCAACATTCACGCTTAACCCACACCCACCACTGTTTTCTCTCAATCTTAAACGACCATTATTTTTCCTTCACAACATGTTGCTCATCGAAATTATTTCTAATTTGATAGATGAATTAAAATGTAATTTATAAAAAAATAAGAAGCTGATTTTCAAAGTGTTTGCACACTCAAACTATATATGGGATGTTTTTAATAACCCTCCCTTTCATTTATAAGGACAAATTACGCACAGAAAGTCATAACATGTACTATATAGCAAACATATAATATTTTTAACGTTTTTGGACAATCACTAATGATCATATATTGAAATTAATCATATAACTAATATGATGTAAAGTTAGTATGCAAAGTATTTACATGTTCAAACTAAAAAATGTTTCTACTTGTTATTGTCACATCAGGTATGGATAAACTAGATTAATTTTTTTACATATAAATGTTTATTTTATCAAATGTAGTAAAACTACAAGACAAAAAACTCATTTACAATAAATAACTTCTGTCGAAAAGAAAAATTACGATAAAAAAATTATAATCTAAAAAATTTAAATGAAATTTGATATTATAAACTATTCTACAACTTTTTTGATTTTTTTTCAAAATTAACCACTTGTTTTATTATCTTTGTTAGAATTGTAAAACAATATTATATATTTGCGATGCATATGGTAAAAAAACTATAAAAAAAAAACTATTGCTATAAAAGATTTGCGTTGAACAATTTGTATGATCGATTAATTATATCTAAACAAATTCTAGATGTATAAATTATAAAAATGATGGATTTGTTTTTCCAAAAATAGGGGGCCATGGAATATTGTGGTTAAAAAATAAGTACGTTAATTTGAAAGTCAGCAGTACAAATATTATGAAGATTAATTATACACATTATTAGCATTTTTATTTCAAATTTTATTACTACAAGTACACATGCACGAAATTTTTTTATTTATCTCCCGCGTTGACTATTTTTCTCCCACCGCTGCCTTCTCTTGTTTCGCCTCCTTCCATTAATCTCCCTCTAGAATCTCAATTATTGGAGTGAGAAGGGACATCGCTAGTTATCGAGGGATCGGATCAGATTAGGTTAAAGTAGTCGTGCGGTACGGTGAGGTTTTCGCGTGATCACGCCTGGTACAATCCTCTCTATAAATTAGCCTTTATCTGCTCCAAGGTTATCCTGTATAACTAACAATCACTAGTCTTGATCTGCAGAGAGCGTAACACTCAATGGATCCTCGTGGTTCGGCACCATACTCCTACCCTGAGGCCACCGTAAATAGTAAGTATACATCATCGATCGCTTATTGCTTATCCTCTAGTGTAAATTTTATCATTGGTGTGCGCGCATGTTTTTCCTTTCTTTTCTTTTGTGT